ATCCCCAACTTCCCAGCAAATCGTTAGGCACCAGCCCCTGGCCTTGCCTGTAAGATCAGACGCAACTGAGCAGTTTTCCCTCCTGTTGATTGATGGTATGGGGTTATACTATCCAATAAGAGATTATCGCAATCAATTCGCAATCCATTATTGAGTCTATGGTAAATCCATGTAAATCCGTTCTTAAGCAGTACAAAGGGACCACATTCAGGGTTTTGAACGCTGCTCACCCGAGGCAATCTTCACATGTTTCTCATGGGCCTTGCTCTGTTGACTGCGGTTTCTTCGCTGAAGGTCTTTGGAGATGCTTGGCGGAAGGGAGGGCTACTATGAACCACAAGCAATTTGAGGAGATTCCCGCAAGATCCCGTCAGTATTCCTGGTACCTCCGGTATAATCCTCTATACATGGAGGTATCAATGGGACAAATCATAGATGTTGGATTTTCCATTGCCATGTTACCAATCCTTCTTATACTATACATGGAGGTATTTTATAATGGGACAAATCATATTATAGATGTTGGATGCATTGCCATGTTACCGCAGGGATCCAAAGCATGTGCCGAGCTCCTGCGAGCCCAGGAAGGGCGACCAATGTTTTGGCGCGAAAGCTCCACTGGCATCAGCGTCGCAGCATTCTTCACAGCGCGGGCCTTGGGTGACTCGGCTTGGGATCGTTGCGATGTGCGCCGAAAATGGGCTGGATATGGCTGGATCTACTATACTTATGCTACTTATGTGCATCAACATGTTTTAATTGATGTAAAAATCTGTTTGTCATTTTTTTTGGGATTGAATCAACTGAACATTTATCCGTTTCGATTTTCTCTTCATGGAGGGTCCACCATCAACAGACAGGTGCTGAGCTCAGCCGAGGAAATATCTTTGATGTGCTCCTGCTGTGCAGTACCTACGTCTTGTACCTTGACAGGAAGGATGCTGTGTTTACGGAAGTTGACGGAAATGCTGGTATCAGCAAAATTCAGCCAAAAAATATATAAAAGGATATTTGGCCTTTGACACACATGTTTTGCCTCCTGCCTTGCCAGATTTGAGGATTTCCGAAATGGTGCCAGAAACAAAGTGAAGCCGGACTTGATGCTATATATTATATACAAGGAACCCCTAGTGTACATTGCCTGACGCCCTCAGGAATCACTGGCCGTTTGGCCATTTCTGAACTCAACTTGTGAAAAGGATTTGAGGTCGATATACTGTTAGATTGTTTCCTATTTAAAGTCATTAAATCAGGGTTACGGTGTGTTACGCTTCTATAGTTTTTGGTTTTAGATAGATCTTTTCCTGGTTTTTTTTGCATCAGCTCTCCTTCGAGCCGAAACCTTGATCTGAGAGGGACCAGGTGCACCAGGTCCACCAGGTGCACCAGGTCCTTGGCCAAGCCTAGTCCCTGAGGATCTACTTCAGTGTCACCAGGTCAATGGGGCCGTTGTTGCATGGGACTGACCACGGCACGGGGGTTGAAAAATGACTGAAAAACCTTCCAAAAGATGGGAACAACATATGGAAACATGCCAAGAAATGTTGGGATATCACTGGCATATACTGACATCACCATGTAATTTTGGGGAATGTGGATGGGGTCATGGATGGTCTCCTACGGGGTGATGATGGCTTTTTTTGTGGCTATCTTTCAGTGGGATGTTGATCTGGAAACCAGCAGCGACCTGTGGAGGCCACCCGTTCCTTACATGGACTACTTCATTCCAAGCATCTTAGTGGCTTTTGCTGCTTCCAGCTGGGGATATCTGCCCCTTGCCTTAGGCTTGCCTTTCACAGATTCGCAGGGTGGGGGATACTTCAGATGGATTGAAGCCAGGGTACACACCCAAAACCTCAGGATATCCACCCTGATCTCGCCGCAAAATGCCATGACTGCAACGGTGATGTTCATCCTGGTGGGCTGTGGCATTTTGGGCAATCCCTATAAGATCCTCGGTTCAAAATGGCAAACGTCAGCAGCTGTCAAGGATGGTGAAGGTAGATCTGCAGTGGCTCATTTGATGGGTTTGGACATGGTCAGCATGTCCATACACTTCCCAGATTTTGTTGGTATATGTTGGTATCTATATAACTTCACCAAACATTGCGGTGTAAGTGCGTCTGGAACGTTTCAGTCGCCCACAGATTTGGGTCATTTGTAGTGACCAAACAAGGTGGTGCCCCATAGTTAGCTAAGTTGGTTTATAACTCCCATAACTATGGTTTATGGCAGATATAATTATAGTTAATGGGGGTTATAAACCAACTTATAACTGGGGGGCACCACCTTGAATGTGACCAATATTCAACCACCACCATCGCCAAGGGCCAAGGATTTACTGGACGGCGGCGCCAAAGAAGCGATGTGGCTTGGATGAACTGATGAGTTGTGGGATTTTGGAGTGCCTCACTGGCCTCACTTTCAGATCTTTCAGACAACCTGGACCTGGCATGACATGGCTAAGTGCATCAGAATCATGCCAAGCTGCCTATGCCATGCCACCACTGCTGTGTGGTTGATTTATGCCATATTTATGCCATTGTGTGGGGTGGTTCTATCACTGGTCCATTACTGGCCCTTACTGGCCATCACTGATCGATCTCTGGGCCACTACAGAAACAGATGACACGGCCTCACTACATACCGTATCCCCTTGCATCACGTGGATCCATCGGGTCCTCGGTCTTGCACCAGCTGGGTTGATCCACTAAGTCACTATGGGTTTGTCCAAAAAGATCCAGAAATAAGGTGGCCCATGAAATCCAGATCAAAAGGATCTGTTTAGTTTTGTTCCTTCTTTAACACGCCCCAAACGGCATTTGTTCTAATTTTTTGGTACTGTATGCATTTGTATGCCTCGTCTTTAGACTGATCCCAAGGTTCCAAGTCCCACCCTCCAGTGCAAGGCTATCCTTGTCCTTGGTTCGCTGGGCCTTACCAATGACCCTGGCTCGAAGCATTGAAGCAGCAGAGGAAGACTCGGAGTGTGTGGATGTGAGTGTCTCGTTGCTGTTTTCAGCCATGCTTTTCTGGGTAATGTGGCAAACCCAACAGTAACCCATCCATTTTTTGTCCAGAAATAGATAAATAGGTGTTACATAGCGGTCCCAATTGGAGGTCCATTATTGGGTTTACGGTTTACCCCATTAAATCGTGCTGTTTGCTTAAACTGTTTGTTTAAACCTGGTTGTCCCAGAAATAATCTGTAAGGGGACATTTGATTTGCGAGAAAACCATTTGTTCAAGTTCAAGAGTAAAAACGTAGCTTATGAATGCTTATGAGATTTCCTGTTGATGTTGGTGAAGGGCGGCCTGTTTGGCCCTATATAGGGGACAGCTATTTGTAGGGTCGGCCTTGTTCTTTACTTGGTGCAACTCCTGTTATTTTAAGGATGACCGGGGGTGACCAGCATTGCTGCAGCAATATGATTCTGGGGTTGTCCACCTCTTTTTGGTGAAAAAATAAGGGAATATATTAGTTGAAAGACTAAAAATTGGCTCAAGAAGTTGGTTCCCCACTAGCCAGGTGTGCTGCTTCTGCGGCAGAACTACTACAACGACATCTTTGAGGGGAAACTCAGCTATTGTTGCTACCTTGGTCGTGGTTGACATATTTTGAACTCCTTAGTTTTTGGGGCAACATGGGCCACCAAAAACTCGCCTCAGAAGACGGTTGTTGGATGAATCCCTTCCCCCGAAAGGCCCTAAACACCCCCCAGATACCATGAGTCGGAGTGTTTAGGGAGGGGATAAAAACACATCTTTGGGACCATACCATAAAGGGGTGTTTAGTACAAATGGGGGTTGGTTACTGCAAAAAAAAATGGGCCCATCCCAGTGACAATTCAATCCTCAGTTTTCATGAGAACTCCCCGTGGTGGCGCCTGCCGACCCCAGCAAGGAAGTACAACAAGTGGAATCAGGGCCTGGTGGCATTGGTGGGCACCACACTTCTAGTGACCATTGCGGCCTTTCTGGGCTTGAAATTCACCAATCGGCACAAACAAGTCTGATGGAGTGTGATCACAATCACATCGGTGGCCAAATTTGGCTGCTGGTTTCGAAAGCCTTTCTTATTCTTCGACCACTTGGGAAAATGACCCGAGACATCCCGAGACATCCCGAGACAACAAAAATGAGTTGAAACCAGCAGCGGAAATTTTCGGAGGCCCTGGAGACTCTTTAGCTGTATCAGTGATCCACATCGGTCATCGCGCCTGTGTCCAAAGCTGACTTATGCACCTCCGAACAGCGAATGGTTCGTAGGAAACGTCCAAAGTTATCACCTGTGCTTGAGAACGTTTTCATGACTATCCCCGATCCTCCCACTGTCTGCATGATGAATTTCAACTGGCTAAAATTGCCTGTCATAGGCAGAATCTCTGTCAATGAGGCTGCAGGATGCTGCAGGTAGGTGGAGGTCACACCTTCACATACGCTGATGGACCCAGCAAGTCAGATCAGCCATGGAAACATATGGCAGATCATGTCCGTACAGCCCTGAGAAAACAATTTCCAGATAGTTCCAGCAAATGACCTTGAACACGTTTTGCTCCTTAGAAAACAAACAAATTTTTGATCAATAATACCGTCCATCAATGAGAGAGTGGAGCAGCCTTGATACCAAAGATGTGTCAAGAGTTGCAGTGACATGCGCCATCCTGTGGAAAGAAATAATTTCAGCTGCCCTTGGGTTACTTGGCTGCCCAATGGCATGGCATTTTTGAGAAGATCACGGTTGTAACAGTGATAAGTGATAACCCAGTTGCTTCCTTTGATGCCTTGTGATCCTGTGTTCCTCCCATGTTACTTTAATTTGGATTTGGCTGGAGTTAACCCTTTTGGTGGCAGAGGTAAAAGGAAGTTTCCTTTACAGGTGGATTTTGGTAGCTGACATGCTGCTAGATGTTCGCCTCACCGTTCCACTTGTAGTGATTGACTGCTTGATCCATTTTAGATCTGCGCCGCTTCCGTTGTTGCTAGTAGTGCAATGCCAGGACCCCGCAGCCTGCCATCAGCTCCCTACGGCTCCGTCCGGACCTCAATGGTCCTCAGGTCCTCATTTTGGGGGTTGCTGTTCTCAAGCAATGCAGCCAGCCCCCGGATGAAGAAATCGTGATGGATGCGAAGTTCGTTGGCCTCAGCTGGCTTTACAGAACCGGCCTCGAGGTTTCCTGCGGAGACGCCGGAAGCCAGCCAAAGGCCAGCCAGGGTACTATACCCATAGGATCCATGTATGCTGTATATGGTAACATTTACCATACATGGATCCTATGGGTATAGTCATTAGTGTCTTGACGTGGAATTGCGTGAAATATTGCAGGCATGCCTGAGGCATTGTCACTTGAATCGCTTTGGGGTGCTCATGATGCCTCTCAGAGAATCAAGACCATCAAAACCGGTGTGCAATCTCAGGTGGGCTTAATGATTGGCGCATTTCATGCACACATCGGGTTGTTTGTATACCATGAAGTAAGGGTTATCCGATTATCCACCACTCAGGGGTTACGAACCCAGTGAACCCCATGACTGTGCTGTCGACAGGGCTTGGCCAATGAACTACACACCGACCTTGCTTCAGTTGGGAGCCCCTGGAAGGTCCATCTGCACTTCAGGTGCCTGCGGGCCCCCTGGGTTGCCATTGCCCCTCAGACCATTGCGGTTAATACACAGGACAGAGGAATTCAGTTGAATGAGAGGTTTGACCCAATGGTTCAAAGTCCCGAAGTGTGTGCCAGTGTGCCATCCTCCAATTCTTTCTGTTTGAAGTTTAACACATGTCCTTACCTCGGAGAAACGGTCAGGCTCTGAGGATTTATGATTTGATGTGGCAATGGTCCGGCCTTCTGGAGGTAGGGGATTGAGTGGAAAAAACCTGCTGTAAGGTGCTCAAGCCACAAGATGGGTTGATGCAAGGGTCGACATTTGGGCTTAAAAACTCGTTCGCCCTGGGTACTCCTACTACTGTATCTCCAACTCTTTTTGTATTTCAGATATACGTTGATCTATAACGTTAGTCTACTCGTTGGTAGGCCACAAAAATATGCATTGAATTGACTTGAGTCAGATTCAATTCCCATTGAACAGGTTTTTTATGGTTTTTCATTTTTTCACAGACGCACGGCTTGGTGTCAACTCCTTCGGAGATTGTGACTTCCAATGGCTCGCGGGGCAGCAAGCCAAGCCATGAACATGTGGAGAGGCCTGGTGCGATGTCTGGCTGCCTGCATCGTTGCGTGGTTTGGGGCTTGTTTTGCTGTACCGCGTAGCGATGGTAATTTTTTTCAGACGGAACCAACCGAGTTCCCTTCTCGGCCCCAAACAAGGGCCGTCAGAGCACCCGGACCACTCAAAAAGTTTTTCATTCCACGGGAGGACGACCGCTTTTTAAGGCCTTTCTGGTTGTGTCAGGCGCTTGCTTCCTATGATTCTGCGCGCAGATCCCCAGATGCTGCGTTAGTGACGAAAAAAATCCAGAACCTGATCTTTTCTTAGGAGGGCCCTCACAGGGCCTGAAGAGATTGAGTGAGCTTGGAGTGAATAAATGTAACTTTCCACAGTGGGACCAGTATATGGTTGCAAAGCTCTATTCCGAGAGTTGGGTTAGTTTCAGCAAGTCAAGAGCAAGCTATGCAAGACACGATGCTGTAGGAGCAGGCAGCGAGTTGATGGCAGCGTGCCAAGCTGCTCTTGGCGACGATATCTACCTTGAAGAAGTGGGGTCTCTAAGAAGAGGGACCGCTTCTTTCCGTGATTGTGACGTGGACCTTCAGATCAGGAGGATTGAGCAGGCAGATAACTTCACAGATAGTGACAAGCTTCGACTAAAACAGTTGCTGCAGGACTCGAGCTGCGTTGAAGGGCCTGTCAGTGTCGGAAGAAAAGCCATCACTTTCAAATTGAACTGTGGAATTTCTGTCGACCTTGTTCTTTGGACACCCCAGGACGAGGATTTTCCAAACCTTCGTGAAGGGAAGGATGCTCAAAAGAATTTCGAACGTATCCACGCATTTTTAGAGCAAACGCCTGCTGCCAGAGATGCTATCATTGTAATCAAAACACTTTTCCCGAAGTTGCGACCAAAAGGCCTACTGGATGCAATCGCATGGCGCCTTTGGAAGAATTTTGCGAGGACGCCCCACGATTTGAATCAAGAGGAGGATTGGTTTATGTTTTTGCTCTATGTCGTGGATGCGCTGCAGAACTGGGAGAGGTCATTCGGAAGCGATCTGAAGCATGATTTGCGCATGCTGCCAGCGAGGAAGAGGAAGGAACACATCCAGAGCTTCGCGAGGTTTCAGCAGATGACATTTATGGATTGGGCTGTTCTTGTCTTTGCCCCATTAGATGGAAGAAGTGTACCAGATGATATGAATGACTGTGAGGGTGTCCTCAAGATTGTGGAACAGACTATTTTTCCCCAAGTTTTCTTGCCCCGACTGATGTGCAGGGCGCAGTCAAAACGTATGCTCTTTGTCAGCAGCCGTGGCGAACCTCAGCGCGAACCTGAACTCAGATTTTTCTTTCCATCTTGTTCTTCTTGGCGATGTTTTTTGGACCCGGCCAGATTGAGGATGTGTAGACTAGGCAGCCCCTTCATCGGACCAATGCTCCCTTCGTGGATCATACATCTCCATCAGCAAACGAAGAACTGGCTCAATCCGAGGCAGTGGGAGCGACGTAATGAGAGGTACCAAAAATTGCCGCTCCCCACATCTTGTGAAATGGGTGGTTTTGACATGTTTTGACTATATAACATGACTTGAATGTTGGACAGATGTGGAGGATTGTGGCGGTACCCGGTATTTTTGAACATTGCTCTACCGGCAGAGCAAATAGCACTTCATGGCATGTCATGTCAGAGACTTCGCAATGTGCCATGCAGTTGCCTTGCAGTTGCCTGGTTCGTTTTTCTTGGGATCCAAGATCCACATTTACTTTTACTATATATCATTAATTATTTGGCGCCCGGGATCCGGAATCTGAAAGGAAGGAAAGGGGGCGCAATATCATCCATCCTGGTACACGGTATATACCCATATATACCATTATATACCCCTATTATCCCCTATTAGTGAATCCTGACATCCTCCAGTAGTCACACATGGCAATGGACAATTCACCATTTCTGGGTGATTGTGCCACATTTTGCCCCTTTTTTTCACATAATTTTGCCCCTTTTTTTCACATAAGATGACCATTTCGCATGCGGATTTCCCAGCCACAGCCATGATGACACTGAAGGGTTTAGGCCAGTTCCAAGGTGGGCGACACCGGACAGCCATTCGCTTCCAAGGTGTTGGCCCTTGAATGCCAATGTGCAGCCAGCCTATTGCAAGCCACTCGTCCTGGAAGATGGGGCCATGGGCCACCGGAAGGGCCATGTACACCGGCCTTCTGGATTCCTCGGGCACACAGCGAAGATTGGCACAAACATTTAAGCACAAGTGAAGTGCTTAACACTTTAATTACTTGCATTTATGTTTGTGCCAATGTTTGCTGGTAATTTTATATATGATATATATATGCTTTGGAAGATGGCCCATTTAGTTCGATTATGTTCTCATTTACTTTTAAAAATGCTGATTTTCCATACCTATATTGCCAGAGGTTATGAGTCTTCATTGCGCGCCAAGAGTTTGTAATCAGATAAGATAGACAAGCACATACGCTGCCACAGTTCATCTTTGTCATCCCTGATGCTGAGGTCGCATCCACCGGTGACATTGGAGAAATCCACACATGCAGGGTACGGGTCCCAAGAATATCGCTCCATCCGCGCATCTTTGACTCAGGGACGAGAGTTGCGACGTGCCTGCGTGTGAAAGTAGAGTCTGATGAATTGGGGGAATCCAATCATCGAATCCAACGTTAACTTCTTATTTGGCCCTTCAATGGTTGGTTGTAGATGGAGGAGCGATTGAGTATCCTCTGACAATCCAACCTGGCGCATAATCCACGACTCAAAAAAGCATCCGTTTAGAGGTGATGTTCCAACATGTGCACCCGCAATCAAACATAGCAATCCAAAATCATTTGAAATTTCTAGATGATTTTCCCATCATCGCCATTTATATTATTATATATAAGGATTTTCAATGTTTATTTTTTCGGCATTTTCCATTTTATTGTTGGATCACCATTTTGGGCAAGGTTCAACGCCATCGACTTAGGCGATGTCAAACCTTACACCTGGTGGATCTGCCGGAAGCAGAGCTGGGACGCCGATTGGAGATTGGGGCATCCCGTGGCGTCCCATTAAACCCCATGGTGTCCCATGAAAAACCATAGCTATGGTCAATACTCATGGTTAATAACCATTAAAAATAATAGGGGCTAGTCATCCAATATGGTGATTTAATGGGATTTATTTCATAAGCATGATTTTTAAGGATCCAATTTTTTTGGATGGGATGACCAGAAAAAGCATTTTTAGTGAGTATTGGCCATGGCTCATATAGCCTCCACTAAATTAAAATAGACCCCGGCAGATAGGGGTTGGAAGATGAGTGAAACCACTAGAACATGCTTATTTTTCGGGGTCCATGGTAATTTACCAGAAGGTAATTCCCATTCATCACCATTGCTCACCATTAAATCACCATTCAATCACCGTTTATGATTGGGATATTACATGGTATTACCCCATGTTTAGACACGCCCAGCTTTGCCTCGCGGCTCGGTGGGCAGTGACTGCAGGTCCTGTGGCCAGAACTTTATGATTGGGATATTACATGGTATTACCCCATGTTTAGACACGCCCAGCTTTGCCTCGCGGCTCGGTGGGCAGTGACTGCAGGTCCTGTGGCCAGAACTGTGCTGGAAACCTACTTTGCCACAGCCTTGGTGTGGCTCAAAAGGGGCACTTGAGACTGGGAACCATGGCCTGAAAGAGAAACTATTCAGTCATTTTGAAGCTGAACATAGCTGAACACTGACTTGGATATACTTGGATGTTTTAATCTTGTATAGTGGGTTGCGAGGTACATCATGTTTCCATATGTTTCTCATCATTTTTCCTCAAACTGGTGGTCTCGGATGGGTGTTTTCGATCAAGTTCACACAAGTTCACCAATGACATTCATCAAAATGGTGCAATTCTCATTTGCTTTCACATATTTTGGCCCATTCTACCATGCCTGGAAATCCCAAACTGGATTCCAATGACCTGTGCTCAGGTTCCAGCTGGCAGGAGAGGTCCGAGGTGCGAATCATTGCGGGATCTATTCATTAAGTCATTACGGTATTCAATATTAAGAGGGTGGGATCACGAAGTCATTCAATTCACCCCAAAACTGTAAGGGTGACTGGTCAAGGGTTGATGTGGTCTGGTATTTTTTGGACCATGCATGCACCCCAGCAACTGATCATGGAGCCCAAACGTGGCAAACATTAACTTTAAGGCGCATTTGTGCGGCCATCCCTCTTCATGTAAGAGCTGGCATCACACTTTTGCATACAAGCCTCAGTTTGAGAAAGCCCTTGCAACTTGACGTAAGATCTCAACACCATTGGGCAATTACACTGGTACATTTTTTCATCCTCTGTTTTGTTTGTGTTCGTTCGCCCACACAGACAGAGTCACAACGATCCCTGGCTTTAGATCGTTTGGGGTATGGTTGGAACCATCAAACATGTTCAACAGAACAGGGGAGGAGAGGCCTCAGCTGCTACCAAGGACCTGGCTGCGTGGAAAGGGCGGGTTGGCTGGAGAACACATCAAAGTCCTGGAACGCAATTTTTGCTCATTCCCACTTGGCTTTTTTGGGGGGCTGAAGGATTTCAAAGTTGCAATCAATCTATCCCTGGTCTAGCCGTGCATCGCCACCATCATCAGCCTCGCTCTTCCAGGACTTGGTGAAGCTTGTTTTGGGTCGGAGGGGCCCGAAGTAGTTGATGCGGGTCGGCTTCAACATGGGCAGTACCGAGTTCCGTGGCCGGGAATTGGTTTGCTACAAAGTCCCGGAAGGTGAGATGAGGGTCAGGTATGGTGAGCCACAAACCTTCTCACTTATATCAAGTCTTCAAGTCATGGGTGCTGGCAGGAGCCCCGGCCATATAATATAAGCACCATAAAGGCATCTTAGCTTCTTTACTGCCAAACTACCGAATCCGTCGTAACCCAGCCGGGGCTTCAGGTCATTGCGGAGTTGAAAGGGGTGCAGCTCATGGGTCCTGGACCCAAGGGGCAGGGTGGCAGGAGGCTGCGCCTGCTGGTGGCCAAGGGGTTTTGAACATTATCAAACATACCCATAGGATCCATGTATGCTATATATGGTCGCATTTACCATCAATATACCCCCAATGTTAGCATATATAGCATAGATGGATCCTATGGGATATAACATATGGTTTATTTTAGGATTCAGCATGCGCATGTAGTTCTTTGCATTTCTTGAACTACTGTAACTCGTTGCTGGTTTCAAATTCTTTTGTTTGCCGGTCCTTTCCTCAGATGATTCCCCACGATTAGCCCCAATGCGCCGGCCCAGCGCTGTATGAGGCTTGTCCTTTGGCTTTGCTGCTGGGTCACAACAGGAGCAGGCCCTCAGCCCAGGGTTTGAGTCCAGAACCTTGGGATGAACACCAGGCCACAATGCCAGGGGCTTTTTAAATTTCGATCTTCGGCAACCCAAAGGTATTTTTACATCTTTGTGGCATTGAGTTGGGGGCCATGTACTTAGCCGGTCACTCATGTCAGCCTCGTCCACGCCAGCCGGTCACCCATTCCTCTTGCACAGGCCATCAAACGCTGCCGTGATATTTGCCTTTCTCTGCTGCCCTGCCAGGTGCTGTGGAAAATGCCAATCTTTAAGTACTTATAAATTTCAAGTTGGTTTTCAACAACGATATGTAGTAGATAGACAACCCCACTTGTAGAATTTCTGTCTATGGGTTCCACTTGGTATGACGGTGTTTAAACAGCCTCCTATTAGATATTAAATTCCACCAGATCACCTGCTTGGAAGACATGCTAGGCCTGGCAGTACTCCAGCGAAGCCGGCTGCTACCTGGAGAATTCATTCATCCAAGCCATGCCATACCCCCCAGTGGTGCAGAAGGGAAGCAGCTTCGCCCATACGGCTGTGGCGGGCGAATATCTGCAACGTCTTTGCAGTGGATATCTCAGCAGAGTTCGAGGGGATGCGCAAGATGCGGAAGTGAAAAAGCAAGCTGCCATGATGGTGGTACCTTGCTATCTGCTTGGAGAGAGGGAAATGGTTCAGGAACTCTTAGAGCTAGCCATTCAAGCCAAAATTTGGGCATAGTATTGTCTTAATTGTCCTAAATCTGGGACAACAATTCTGCAGGTCCAGTCTTAAAAACAACTTGAGTGTATGGTATTTTATGGTATTTTTGACTCAATGGGTTCAGCAAGCATCAGCTAAATCACATCACCTCAGGCATATGATGACAAGGAGACGTCTCCGCAGAAATCTGAAGGTGCTCCGGTCCCAGTGGTGGTGCCTAGCAGCGCACCAGCAGAAGAGTCAAGTTCCACTGATTTGGATTAGCAAACTTTGTATTTTAGGGGCGCATTTGCTACGGCATAGGTTGCATGAAATGATGCAACCCTAGAAGCCCTACGAGCTTGGAGTGATTGGACATGATTGGACTCTACACTACGTAATCAATATTGATTAGATTTAAGTAATATGTTGCTCCGTTTGGTGCTTGGACCTCCATTTCATTCCATTTCCCTTCACAATTCAGAACGCAATAAGTTCAGCACCTTCAGGTCGTCCACAGGAGTCTTCGGCTGTGCCGGTTTCCCCATCCACTGATGCGATGCTTCCGCCCACTCTTCCACCAGCCACAGGGGCAGCTGCTCCACCAGCCACAGGGGAAGCTGCATCTGCAACGGCAGCTGCAGGTATTGCAGTGACACCACCATCACCCGCAGGCGCCCCAAATCTGGCCCCGCAACCCATGTCGGTGCCTACCGTGGCACCACTGAAGCCAGCTCCGGTGGCCACCCTGGCACCGGTTCCCACACTGGCACCTGTGGCAACTGTGGCACCAGCAGGGCCAGCAGGGCTGCCTTTAACGCCTCTGCTTCCAGTGGCCAGTGCGGGCCCCTTGCGGTTTCGAGAGGGCGCTGACGCCAAGCCGGTGCCACAAAGCGGTGGCGCTGCAGCAGAGCTGCAGGGAGGTCATGGAAGGAGGTCTATCTCGGACTGGCTGGTGGTGAGTGGCTCGGAATGGTTTTCAGAGATGGCTAATGAGAAGAAAAGTCCCCAGATAGAAGGCAATGCTAATAGAGAATATTAAGACTATGCGATACTCATGAGATAGTGGGATGAACTTCCAATACGGATTTGAGGGCTATTTGATGTCAAATCAATCCAAATCAGGTTTGCCCTCTGGTAATCACACATGGCTTGCTGGAAAATCCACCATTTAGATCCATTTAGTGATGATATTCCCATTAAAGCTCCAGTTAGTTCGGGGATTTCTGAGCCAGCGAATATGGGTCAAAAACATAGGCCTAAGCCGGAGGTGGCTGGTAATTGGCCCGGTAATCTCCATGTTGATGCGATGAAAGATGATAAAACTGGAAAACTTGGAGCATATTTTAACAATTAATTGCATTTTGCGATATGATTTTCCAGGGGTCATTAAATGTCCCCATTGAACATCACCCAACCATTAGGTATATGGTCTATAATGGCTACTACGAGGTGATGTCCAATATACCCAAAATGGGACAGTTACCAACCCCTGTTTTCAACCAGTTCAATGTGTTATAATTCATTGCCCAGTTCGCCATTGTTCAAGTTCCTGAGGCATGGGAGTCTTTGGCTTGGTCATGGTGTGCATTGCAGCCCACTTCCTTCGGAGCAACGGGTCCAGACGGAAGGGCGTGAGTGAATCTGACAGCTCTGACCAGGAATCGTTTCTGCCCAATTGAGCAATGTTCACAACCCCTGTTGGTTTTTATGATTATCCTACCCAATATATCGGGGATTATAACAATCCAATAGGGGGATCCCTATTGACCAACCAGTATAATGGAATAACGGGGTTTTTGAACACTGCTCAATTGAAGGAGGCCTGGGCATTTGGTGAACTCGCGTTTGAACCAAGGATGATATTAGGAGCAGTGGTCCCAGACATTAGACATTGTTCAGAAGCTTTCATAATATTGCCCCAAATAGATGGAACAACAATGGATGAACAAACACACACACAAGAACTTATACAATATCAGTTTATATCACTTTGGTACTACCTGGGGATGGATATTTTCTACCAGAAAATGCAGGGTTGATCAGGTTTGCCAAGAGTTAGCCTGAGTTCACCGGCCTTCACTGTGTGTGAAATGCCGGGCTCTGAGGCCCTGCCGCAGGGAATCTGTCAGGTCCGACAGCCTGAAGGTCTCACAAAAAGAATCAGCATGTACCGTGTGATTTCCACATGAACTAGATGAAGTTCCTAAAGTCGAGACACCAAAATTTTGCACGATGTCATAGCCTAGGGCACAGATGATCACAGATGCTAGATTCCAACTTGTGGGTCTTCAACACTGCAATGGAGAATCTTTTCCATCGCAAAGTGAGACGATGGATATGTCTTCAAACAATTTAAAACATCTTAAGTGCATTTAAATGCATTTACATGCCATTCTAGTTGGTGGTTGAGCCATTTCAATCCAATTTTTATATAATCCCTTCATCTCTGCAGCTGGTTCTTAAACATTTTGAATTGTTTAAATCATGACAGGCCCCTTGTCTACGGCTTTTTGACCCAGGATTTCGATACTGAACGCTTTGCTGATGCACCCTTCAGTTTCTCAGAATTGGATGATGGGACAACGTACAGGAACCCCAATAGCTAAGATCAAAAACATTCAAAAACCTGGTTTTCATAATCATATGTTTTCATATGTTTTCCTGTATGTAGATTGTTCCTTGAACCATTCCATTAAATTCAAACTTGTCACGAAGCTTCATACCACCAAACCAGCATCTTTATGCCCAATTTGGTCGGGCCTATGCAGCCGACTGGCAGTGCCAATGTTGCCGAAAATCAAGCGCCCTGAGAGGTACCAACTGAGAAGCCCAACATCCAAGGGCGTCCAAGGGGTTCCAGTTTGATTCCAAGATATTCTAAGACATTTGGAGCATTGTAGTATGTATTACGCCATGTGATTCACTGCACCCAATTTTACCATTTGCGAATCATACTGTACCATGTGGAACTTTATTAATTAGTCTGGTAATTTAACATTGCTATTGAAAATGGCCATAGAAATAGTGGATTTTCCCATAAAAAATAGTGATTTTCCATAGGTATGTTAGTCATTACCAGAGGGTAATTAGTCTGGGTTTTACCACATTCAGATTTTGGATCATGAGATCGATCCCGAGATTCACCTCAGGGCTTTCCACAAAGCAGTGCATATGGAAGCAAAGCAGCTGTGGGCTTTGATCTCAGTTGGGTCTTGAAGAGACATGAAGTCTACGGGCAGGAAATCAGAGGGTTTGAATAGTTTGATGATGTTTGATGTTTTCCCATTATATCCCCATTCATGTCATGTTTTAGCCTGGTCATTTTTCCCAGTCTTAGTCAAGGCCAGCCAGCAGTGCACCTGCGCTGTGCCGAGGATGCTGGGGCATACACCAGTGCAAGCAAAGGCAGCCCATCCTCACCAGGCACGCCCGGCAGAATATGAAGATCAACTTTCGAAGTTAAGTCGAAGTTAATCAAAGGAATGCGATGTCATTTTATCATATTTTATCTCATTTCATGTCCACGTTTTTCCAATGATGGGCATATATGTCAATGGAAGCTCTCCTGTGATTCAGCTGTGGCACGTTGTGGCAGGTAGTCACGAGATCACCTTCAATGCAAGAGATGACAAGGTGCCCCCTTCGCTCGCCCCGGGGAGCGCAGAAGGGATGGCATGGGTCCTGGACTCGCAGGTGGAAAGGTACATTGCGGCCGCGATGATACTGGATGACTTATGTACATGATACACGGCCAGCACCGAACTGCTCCACCCAATGCGTCAATCTACACAAATAGATGTATATATATATATAATCCTCCTTGGAAAAATCTCTATAAAATAGATCACCTGGGGGTACGATTCTATAGAGATGAGGCTGGTAGGCCAGTGTTTACTATAGAATGGTACCTGGATTGCGCCCATCCAGTTTACATACCCAAAAGGGACACCAAACTTGAGGCATTGCAAACCCAGTTTTCTATTCTATAGGGGGTCTTTTTCCTAATCACTTGGACTCAGGTTTTCATTCTATAGTGGATGATTTGTTTAGAAGCGGTGGGTATGAGGCTGGGTTTTCATTTTATAGGAGTGGAAGGGGAGGCATCAGTGGGCAATAATATTGTAAATGCTGTATGATATTGTAAAATATTGACACATACTGCAAACAAATAAGTAATCAACACTGTTAACGAATCAGTTTTGTGCAGGGCTGCTCCTTTAAAATGGAAATCCAACCCCCCTCTGTAAAATAGTCACCAAGTATATTCTTTTGTGGAATGGTGCCAGCCCAGATCCAAAAAGTGAAACAAAACTTAAGGCATTGCAAACCCAGGTTTCTATTCTATAGGGGGTCTTTTTCCTAATCACTTGGACCATTGGACTTAGGTTTTCATTCTATAGTGGATTATTTGTTAGAAGCGGTGGGTATGAGGCTGGGTTTTCATTTTATAGGAGTGGAAGGGGAGGTGTCAGTGGGCAATAATATTGTAAATGCTGTATGATACTGTAAAATATTGACACATACTGCAAACAATAAGTAATCAACACTGTTAACGAATCAGTTTTGTGCAGGGCTGCTCCTTAAAATGGAAATCCAACCCCCCTCTGTAAAATAGTCACCAAGTATATTCTTTTGTGGAATGGTGCCAGCCCAGATCCAAAAAGTGAAACAAAACTTAAGGCATTGCAAACCCAGGTTTCTATTCTATAGGGGGTCTTTTTCCTAATCACTTGGACTCAGGTTTTCATTCTATAGTGGATTTTGTTAGAAGCGGTGGGTATGAGGCTGGGTTTTCATTTTATAGGAGTGGAAGGGGAGGTGTCAGTGGGCAATAATATTGTAAATGCTGTATGATATTGTAAAATATTGACACATACTGCAAACGAATAAGTAATCAACACTGTTAACGAATCAGTTTTGTGCAGGGCTGCTCCATTAAAATGGAAATCCAACCCCCCTCTGTAAAATAGTCACCAAGTATATTCTTTTGTGGAATGGTGCCAGCCCAGATCCAAAAAGTGAAACAAAACTTAAGGCATTGCAAACCCAGGTTTCTATTCTATAGGGGGTCTTTTTCCTAATCACTTGGACCATTGGACTCAGGTTTTCATTCTATAGTGGATGATTTGTTAGAAGCGGTGGGTATGAGGCTGGGTTTTCATTTTATAGGAGTGGAAGGGGAGGTGTCAGTGGGCAATAATATTGTAAATGCTGTATGATATTGTAAAATATTGACACATACTGCAAACAAATAAGTAATCAACACTGTTAACGAATCAGTTTTGTGCAGGGCTGCTCCTTTAAAATGGAAATCCAACCCCCCTCTGTAAAATAGTCACCAAGTATATTCTTTTGTGGAATGGTGCCAGCCCAGATCCAAAAAGTGAAACAAAACTTAAGGCATTGCAAACCCATTTTTCTATTCTATAGGGGGTCTTTTTCCTAATCACTTGGACCATTGGACTCAAGTTTTCATTCTATAGTGGATGATTTGTTAGAAGCGGTGGGTATGAGGCTGGGTTTTCATTTTATAGGAGTGGAAGGGGAGGTGTCAGTGGGCAATAATATTGTAAATGCTGTATGATATTGAAAAATATTGACACATACTGCAAACAAATAAGTAATCAACACTGTTAACGAATCAGTTTTGTGCAGGGCTGCTCCTTTAAAATGGAAATCCAACCCCCCTCTGTAAAATAGTCACCAAGTATATTCTTTCGTGGAATGGTGCTAGCCCAGATCCAAAAAGTGAAACCAAACTTAAGGCATTGCAAACCCAGTTTTCTATTCTATAGGGGGTCTTTTTCCTAATCACTTGGACCATTGGACTCAGGTTTTCATTCTATAGTGGATTATTTGTTAGAAGCGGTGGGTATGAGGCTGGATTTTCATTTTATAGGAGTGGAAGGGGAGGCGTCGGTGGGCAATAATATTGTAAATGCTGTATGATATTGTAAAATATTGACACATACTGCAAACAAATAAATAATCAACACTGTTAACGAATCAGTTTTGTGCAGGGCTGCTCCTTTAAAATGGAAATCCAACCCCCCTCTGTAAAATAGTCACCAAGTATATTCTTTTGTGGAATGGTGCCAGCCCAGATCCAAAAAGTGAAACAAAACTTAAGGCATTGCAAACCCAGGTTTCTATTCTATAGGGGGTCTTTTTCCTAATCACTTGGACCATTGGACTTAGGTTTTCATTCTATAGTGGATTATTTGTTAGAAGCGGTGGGTATGAGGCTGGGTTTTCATTTTATAGGAGTGGAAGGGGAGGTGTCAGTGGGCAATAATGTTGTAAATGCTGTATGATATTGTAAAATATTGACACATACTGCAAACGAATAAGTAATCAACACTGTTAACGAATCAGTTTTGTGCAGGGCTGCTCCTTTAAAATGGAAATCCAACCCCCCTCTGTAAAATAGTCACCAAGTATATTCTTTTGTGGAATGGTGCCAGCCCAGATCCAAAAAGTGAAACAAAACTTAAGGCATTGCAAACCCAGTTTTCTATTCTAGGGGGGGTATTTTTCCTAATCACTTGGACCATTGGACTCAGGTTTTCATTCTATAGTGGATTACCTGTTAGAAGCGGTGGGTATGAGGCTGGGTTTTCATTTTATAGGAGTGGAAGGGGAGGTGTCAGTGGGCAATAATGTTGTAAATGCTGTATGATACTGTAAAATATTGACACATACTGCAAACGAATAAGTAATCAACACTGTTAACGAATCAGTTTTGTGCAGGGCTGCTCCTTTAAAATGGAAATCCAACCACCCTCTGTAAAATAGTCACCAAGTATATTCTTTTGTGGAATGGTGCCAGCCCAGATCCAAAAAGGGAAACAAAACTTAAGGCATTGCAAACCCAGTTTTCTATTCTATAGGGGGTCTTTTTCCTAATCACTTGGACCATTGGACTCAGGTTTTCATTCTATAGTGGATGATTTGTTAGAAGCGGTGGGTATGAGGCTGGGTTTTCATTTTATAGGAGTGGAAGGGGAGGTGTCAGTGGGCAATAATATTGTAAATGCTGTATGATACTGTTAAATATTGACACATACTGCAAACGAATAAGTAATCAACACTGTTAACGAATCAGTTTTGTGCAGGGCTGCTCCTTTAAAATGGAAATCCAACCCACCTCTTTAAAATAGTCACCAAGTATATTCTTTTGCGGAATGGTGCCAGCCCAGATCCAAAAAAGTGAAACAAAACTTAAGGCATTGCAAACCCAGTGTTCTATTCTATAGGGGGTCTTTTTCCTAATCACTTGGACTCAGGTTTTCATTTTATAGTGGATTATCTGTTAGAAGCAGTGGCCAGTATGATGCTGGGTTTTCATTTTATAGGAGTGGCAGGGGGCTGTTGGCTTTCTTGGGTTTCTATTCTATAGGGAAAATCCCCCCCCCTTAGTCCTGGGTTTGCGTTTTAGTCCCTATAGAATGGAACCCCCAGGTTTGGTTCGAATTCCAACAGGGATTATATATATATATATAAATATATATATACACAGAAAAAATATGATGCATCAATTAATCCCATAGGATATGTAGACACATCAAACTTACATAATAATACATAAATAGACAGAGGCAAACAGGGTATTTTCAATATGTTCATCGTTTTATCTTACAGCCAGGTGATTTGCTTGAGCTCTTCTGTGCTGGATGCGCTGGGGAAGAAGGTGCAAGCGCTGAAGGCACGCACCTTTCCCAAAAAATCGCAGGGTGTTTTTTGGATGTGAAAATGATGGGTTTTGATATCCATCCCCATGTGGAAAAATGATGGTTTTCATCAGCACAAGCACAGCAAAATATCGCATAAAGTTTTGCAAATCGTTTGGGGGGACCTGGTGGGGTAGCAGCACATGTTGTGTGAGTTGGTGTTTTTCCTCGAACGTCTTGACTGGTTCGGCCAACCAAGAGATCATGGTTTCCTGCAAGAAGGTTGCGCCATGTTGTCCCTGAAGTTGCGCAAGTAAATCTGAATGTGATACTGTGATACTATAGATATTCTCGACGTTGAATCAGCCCAGAACCACGCATCCTGATAGCTTCGCATGCCAAAATGTCAAGTGAAGTCGGAAGAGTTTTGATAGCCTTTAGCCGCTTTAGCCTATCTTTAGCCTATCTTTAGCTTATCTTTAGCCAAAAATGTGTGCTTTATGTATGCCCACCCAGCTTGGGTGCGGAAACGCCCTACTTGGGATGCCAGAAAGTGGACGAGCAGCTTGCCAACTTTGGCTGGGGCATCAAGCAGATTCTAGAGGAGTTGAGTAGCCACGGGTAGCCGTAGCCCACAGTGATCCCATGTGGCTCGGCCCGGCCCCGGGCGTTCAACTTAGTCCCCCTGTACTGTACCATCTGTACCTGTCATATTGATGAAACATTTGTTGGTAGGGGGAACAAAGTTCCCAACACAAAAAAGATAATTGTTCTTTACTAAGGCTGTCAGTAGGGCCATCACTAGCTTGCCACACCTTTGTTGACCAAAATTGGACAATAAAAAATGATGTATTTTGATGGGGTAAACTCAGTTTATCTAAATCCGGCTGCAATGTCCATGTATGCCCATGTAGATGTTGCAATGGACGGAGGCTTCCATTCTGCAATAATTAGGGTATTTGCACCTCAATGGTTCATGAGTTCGACCACCAACAAATCAATTGGGCCTACTTCATCACAGTTGAGACATGTTGAGAAGTTTTCTTTTAGTTGATTTTAGTTGTCTTTTTTATTGCATGCAAACCCTTCCCCCTAATAGAACATTGAACACCCACCAAAAACCTTATTTTAGAAAGGGATTTATACATCTTTGAGACCCGTTGAAAAAAACGGGGATGGGATGAGTCTTTGCCTCAACGCATTGCCGCCAGGACCAGCTTGGGCTTAGTTTGACGAAGAGAACGCCAGGAATGCTTTCGCGCCCTGGCGGAAGCGGCTGGCGCCAGGGTCCACCCAGAAACAAAAGGTCACTGTAACTGATGCAGGGAAAGATTAGCGGTTTGATGCTGTTGGATTTTGTTGGAATCAATGCCCCACTTGATTTGGCGCCCCCTTTTTGTGCGGATAACATTTCTGCCCCGTGCAGTTCATGGCTGAAAACCAGGTGCTACGATGGCCAGAAGGTGCCCGATGCACAATATGGCTTTCACGTGGACAACCCATACATGCAACTTGGCGAAAGATCATGCGAACATCACGTCCTTCAGACCGGTCAAAGTGGCGAAAGTGGCTTGTGAGTGTGCAGTCCTCGACCCTTTTGGGATCCTGCAGAGAATCTTTGGAACATTGGCATGGCAGCCCATTGAAAATTACAATGTCCAATGAAAAGAACACGCTTCCTTGCGGAGGGCTCACAAGTTGGCATATGTGAATGCCCAATCGTTAAGGACCAACATGGCAGTTCCGGACGATGGCAGGACATTTTCGTAGGTGCTAAGAAGAGACCTGAAACTAAACACGATTGAGAAGCACAGTGTGAGACAAGGTGCAGTGTCAATGGCACGGATGTGCTGTGGCTGGCAGGAGGCTGACGTTGATTTTCTACATTTCAGATGGGCAGCACTGGGATGTCCAAAAGGCTCGGTCCTTGGGGCTGAAGAATGAGCTTCATGCTGCAACTGCTGCATGTTGTCCATCATGTTGATGTCAGGATGGTGGTGCCCTACAGGCCATGGGGGTCACGGTGAGGTTATCATATACTCTGCCGCATTATTGTTGGCTCATGAAACAGAGTGATTTGTCCCTCATCGCCCCTCAAAACAAACATGCACGGGATAGACATCACCATGGTTGTTGAATCTACACTTTGGCTTCTTTCTTTTGACCACTATGTCCAGCATGTGATGCGCTCACATGACACAAAATTAGAGATAGTGCTCTAGGTCTCACGTACTTCCACGAGGATGGTTGCATTATTGGATCGTTGTCCATGAAGTGCCCACCGTCCCAGGTCTGCATGTCAGATCCAAGACGGGCGCCATCATCCACTGCAGAGGTGGCGAAGTGGTGTTCATTGGTGTTGCGAAGTCAAATGCTGGCTTTCCATTTCACCAAGTAGCTTTGTCTCTGATGCTTGGTCAGTCGGCAGCTTCCAAAAGTCTATTTGCCTGCGCCAAGTGCCGTGTTTTCATGTGTCTGAATTTTCGACATCGCACCTCATGCACTTCACTTAAACCTGCAAGATGGCTTTCTCCGGAGATGTTTCTCATGGGATGCCTTTTCTATGGTACATAGAGTCCGTGTATCTGCCAGGTTCACTGGCAGATTTTGAACAGGAATGGGAAATGATGAGGTACAAAAAAACAATTATCATCCCATACTGATCCCCTCTTGTTCTGCTCAAAATGCACAAGATCCCATGGAAAGCCAACGTAGGTGGATAAATATGGAAGGTCGCATAGCTTTCCAAAAAAGTTCAATTAAAGCATGTCAAAGATTTGATCCCTTACCCTTCAGCTTGTTAACAGTGATTCTTCCAATTTTATATGTTTTTATCATTGTTTATCCAATTTTAACAAATGCACAGTTAGTATCTTTTGATATCTAATGGGCTAACAAAAAAGCGAAGAAACTAGATGAAACTATAGGTAACATAGTATAAATAGTAACGCCCATAATTTTCGAACAACCCCCGTCATACCAACATAGTATAAATAGAAACTCCCCCAATATATCAAAATCATATTCATCATAGAACTGAACAAAGTATAAAATTGCATGTATCATCATGTATCATCATTTATCATACTATCCTATAATCTCGCACTTTTTATTAAACGATCCCATCTTTTCAGGGTTGCCATAGCATGTTTTGTCCCTCATGTCCCTCACTGCCAGGCCTTAACCCATCCCCTATTCACTGTGGCGCCCGACTGTGACACGTTGGTGCGGTTTTTTTGGGCTGTGGGGGCCAGGATGGCATGGCTGTGTAAGGCTCAAAATGATTGACCCCCGAAATTGGATCCTGTGCTAGTATTCAAACATATTTGAAGCATTTGGTATTTGCACCATAGACGATTTGCCTATTCTTTGAATGGCGATTAGCCGTGGCAAACAGGTACTGCAGTTCAAAAGGGTATGGCATTTGTGCGTATCCATGAGTGACATGTTTTTTTCCGGGACATATGTCTCAAGGTGGGCCGGGTGTCGTGCGGCAGGTGGCATTCTGGTCCCATACCATGCTGCTGGGCAGATACTGAGTGCTCCAGCCCCTGGTGCAACGGAGTTTTACCATCCCCTCACCCGGACGACTACTTTCCTCAAAACAACATGGCGATTCTCAGGGTCAAACTGTTCATGTGGGGGGTGGTTTATGGTGGTTTAACATATCCATTGAGATATATTGAGATTTGTTTTACTCAAAAAAACATTATGACTACTTAAACATCATTGCGTCCATAGTGAGCCATAGAATCGATCCATTTCCCATGGACTTAGGTGGCAAGCATCATCCCAGACCCCTTCCGAGAAACGTCCCTGCCGTAGTCCAGGTTCCATGCGGTGCTACCGGTCACCGGCACCAAGCCGCGCTTCGCCTTGTCCACGTGGTTTATGGGCAGCTGAGACGGCGAAAACATGCGTGGAGGAAACGGGTGCTGGATGAATGGTGAAGGCAGGGCCAAAAACCTTAGGACACACAGCTGGTTGATAGTTACTGATAGTTACTGATAGTTGATATTTGGTGATACTTTCATATACTTTCCACTTTCAACTCTTGATCTTGGAAGCATATTTTGTGAGGATGATCCCCAATCATCCGCAATTATGTTGTTTGACGATGGGCTCAATATCAATATATAAACAGCGCATGCTTGAGACTTGGACATACCATGGCATGTCGACATACCATGACATACTGTACCAATAATTATAGGCACTCATCCTTTGCCTACGTGCAATGTTTGCAGATCTTTGTGTTTTCGAATCTTTGGGTGCTGACTTTTCAATCGTGCTCTGCAGCTCTTTCAGCCTTCCAGACGACTCACTAAGATCCACATAGATCCACTCAGGATACCATAGGATTCCTCTACGCCACCATAGAAGTAGACATTGCGCCGGATGTGGGGACCAATCTTTCAGAGGACACTCCCCAAAACCAATTTTCGAGGTTCACACCGAAACTACGAAGCAGCCTGTCAAAGATGAAGTGGAGAAAGGTTCCACTGGAACTCTTTTGCGGTTCAAAAGCAGAACCAACGGCAAAACCATGCAAAACCACCTTCTCAGCTTTCGTGCACATATAGATCATATAGCAAGCCCTCAATGTGATCTAGGCTCAGCGGCTCGGTATTTCTACCATTTTCAAGTGGAGTTGATGCCATAACATCATAACATCAGCGAGCCTCGTGGCTGCCCGGTGATGTCGGACATCCCCAAGCTGGGGAGGGACTTGACCCTGGAGGTCTCAGTGCTGAAATATGAAGTTGCCTGGGCCCCAGCGATGGGACACTCATGTACCATCTCTAGAACTGGAAAGATGGTCAACTGATGTCAACTGTACTAATTACAAAAAAAGATACTATAATTATTTACTATGTAACAAAAATATAATATATGGTTCTATGATTTTGTACACACACAAATATATATATATAATATAATATATATATACATATTCTCTCTCTCTCTCTCTCTCTCTCCTCTTTGAGGCCTTGAAATCCCCAGACTCAATAGTCGTTACTCAGTGCAGCCAAAACTGGTAGTTCCAGTTTTGGCTATGGATGTTTTCCTATAGGTCATGGGGGTACCCCAAATCATCCGTGTAGGATTTTATCCATCCACCTTGAGGCGGAGAATGCTGGCGACGCCAGCGGCTTAGCCGCGGGCATCGAAGCTTTGAAGGCGTCTCTGTGGCGACCTGGGTCTATGGACTGAGCAAAATGAGCAGAGAGAAGTAGAAATCCCCGAACTAACTGGAGCTTTAATATGCTTTAATGGGAATATAATCACTAAATGGATCGAAATGGTGGATTTTCCGGCTCATGTTTGGCTGCCAGAGGGTATACATTCGTTGGATGTTTTCTTGTCGGGTTCCTTATCGTAAGGCTGGTTGATGAGTGTCGTAGCATGTCGTAGCCGTGGGGCCAGGCACGTGTGAGTTTAGCCAAGTCTGGGCAACATGTCACTGAGCTGCAAAGCTGGGGAAAAAACGTGCCCGAAACTATGGGAAAACTGTGGGAAAACTATGGTGAATTCAGCTTTCCGAACTAAATGGAGGTTTATAGCTGGGAAAAACATGGGAACATTCTCCAGCACTTGGGGAAATGGGGGATTTTCACGGATCCGGCTCATGTTTTGATGACTGGAAGGTAGCTAAGTTGGTTTCCAACCCCAAGAACTCTTGGACTTAGCAATGATATGTAATGATGGTGGACATATCGAACTAGTAGGGGTATGAACCAACTGCTCATTACTGGGCACCACCTTGTAACTGGGCATGCAAAACCTTGAGGGCCTCAGCAAGGCATCGAGTGTGTCAAATCCTTACGACCCATGGGCTTCATGGGCACAGTGTCCGCTATGATCCATGAGGTGGAGTATCTCTTACAGGCGCCAGCTGTGCTGATCTTCTATGGGGCGTTAAGTCTTAATTCGATACCTCAACGAATCGTGCATGCTTGCGCTCCCAAACTTTTTTGGTGAGAGGACAAATATGACAACATCACAAAATTATGAGTCAGGGAGTAATTTTCTTCCATGTTGCTTGCTATATCTTGCTATGATCGTGTCATGAGTTAACGTTGGTGTTCAATGTTTTCTCCTTCCCTTTGATCTCAGGTGTAATGTTTCTGGTGCCACTACAGATCTGTCTGTCATTCAACTGTGACATTGGTGGCCGGGCTGTTGGCTCGAGAGTGGTCCCCAGCTTTCCCTGGGCCTGGCTGCGCCCCGAAACTCGGGGCGTGATGTCATGTTGGGCCGCAAGCCCAAGGGAGATGCCGCGGTGGGAGCCAGAGCCCTCGGCTCCCGGAGCGGCGCGACCGCTGCCAGCTCTGGCAAGAAGAGAAAATGGCAGGAAGAACTCAGTGCCTCTTCCGGGGCGTTCATGATGTTCATGGATCCTGGGAGGGTTGACACAGGGAATTGAACAATGCATACGGTTTAAATTGCTAAGTCTATTTTCTTCATTTTTGTTCTGCCATACTATAGTTTTTTTTTTTTGGGGGGGTTATGTATTACTGTATATATTCTGTAAATTATATTAGTATATTAATTGATGCTACTGGGCGATACTTGTCTTTCTATACTTGGATTGACAAAGACAAAGATGCTTCATGATGCTTCTGCTAGATGCCATCTGCCATGTCCTGATAGCTGGAAGTCCTTCAAGTATATAGGGTGAATCAGAATTTTGGAGGTGATAAGTGATAATCAATCCTACGATGCATATGATGCATGATGTTTTGTGGTGGTTTCAGGATGTTTCAGGCATGTCAACCCGTTCATTCCCAACAGCATCCCAACCAGTTTGACATTCTTGGGGTGGATTGGCACCAGCAGCCATCATAAATATCCCCGAACACCTCGCATGCTCAACTTAAAGGAGCTGGGCCAATTCTAGGTGGAGTTGAAAGCAAAGGACTTGGGCCCCCTGGGCCCTCGACATCCAGGTGATGAGAGCGATGGAGCAGAGAAGATCACTACTGAGGAGCTTGAGAAGTGGAAAGAGACCTTAGAAGAAGAGGAGAAACGTGAAGAAATGGACCCCTGGCCTTGCGACTGATCAGGTATTTGGGATATTGGGATTATTGGGATTATTGGGATTATTGGATTTCATTGAATTCGGGAGATTCCAGATATTTCAGCCTAGCTTTCTTTCCTGCTCAGACGTTTGACAGATGTGATAGTCATGCCACGACGCTTGGATCCGGTGAGACGGTAAATACTCTGTCAGTTTGCTGCTCATGTGTTGTTGGTTTAGTAGGCATCCAAGTCCATCATGTGTTGGAATAGGTTTAACATTGATTTGTCTATATTTGACGTGTTTATCATTTATCATTAATTGTTCCCCAACAGCGTAAGCTAATGGGGTCTTCAGCCCAGAATAGTTCCGGTGTGCGCCGGTGCAGGCGCCGGGTCAGGTTCAACGAGGTTCCGGAGAAGGTCTGAGACGCTTTGGTGCAGAGCGGGGTCACGTTCAACAGGGTTCCGGAGAAGGTTCCAGACAAGGTCCTGGGGCGGGGGTGTCAGGTTCCACAGGGTTCCGAGAAGGTGTGGGAGGCTTTGGTGCAAAGCCAAGTCAGGTTCAACAGGGTTCCGGAGAAGGTTCCGGAGATGGTTCCGGAGATGGTTCCGGAGAAGGTTCCGGAGAATGTCTGGGAGGCTTTGGTGCGGAGCCAGGTCACGTTCAACAGGGTGCCGAAGAAGGTTCCGGAGAAGGTTCCGGAGAAGGTTCCGGAGAAGGTCTAGGAGGCTGCAGAGCCAGGTCAGGTTCAACAGGATTCGCGGTGAAGGTCTGGGAGGCTTTGGTGCAGAGCCAGGCTTTGGTGCAGAGCCAGGCTTTGGTGCAGAGCCAGGTCATGTTCAACAGGTTTCCGGAGAAGGTTTCGGTGCAGGGCTTGGAGGCTTTGGTGCAGAGCCAGGTCAGGTTCAACAGGGTTCCGGAGAAGGTTCCGGAGAAGGTTCCGGGAGGCTTTGGTGCAGAGCCAGGTCAGGTTCCACAGGGTTCGGGGAAGGTTCGGGAGAAGGTTGGTGCGGAGCCAGGTCAGGTTCAACAGGATTTGCGGCCATTTAACTCACGGAAACCCAGCCGAGGTGTTTCCAGCTTTTGGCTTTGCAGCACGCCTCAGAAAGATTTGTAAAAATAAAACGTTGCGGCTGTTGGGGATACCACCGAAGCTTATTTTTCTTTATTGTGATTATCATTATATTTCATTGTTTATAAATATCTATTCCTGCCCCTTTCAATCCATTTTGACGTCAAGGAAAGGGCGGAGCAGGAACGAAAAGCCAGAGAGGAAGAGAGGAAGCGAAAGGCCGCCTGGAGTCAAAGCAAGTAGCTAAGTCACATGCTGTGTATTCAAATTTGCTCAGCATTTGGTGTCAAGATCATAGTGCTCTCCACAGACAGTGGATTCTTTTCTGGATTTTTGGGATGGCTGACTCAAGCACCAGGTATCGATAGAATTAGAAATGAATTGGATGCCGCTTTGCACAGACCAACCCAAAAGGCGTGGGTTCGACAAGCCTCCTGTGAAATCCACATTCCTGGCGTTTGCTTCATTTGTTCAAAGGTGGTCACACTATCGCCTTTGAAATGTATATAGATGTTAGGTCGGTAAGGCTCGGCTAGCCATGGTTCACATCCCAACAACACTAGCTGTGGGGTACAGTAATGTGGTAAGCCCAATGCCAAAAAAACAATCTCCAATGACTTAGCATAAATCAGACGTGTTTTATCATCTGAAGCCCCATGAGCCCCATAATGCAATTTTGGTAGCACTATTTGAGGGGGATCCCATGATCAATCAGTGCTTGTTTATCAGAGGTTGGCATTGCATATTTTAAATTAACCCAAGTCGATAGATAGATAGATAGATAGATAGATAGCTATAGCTAGACACCATGAATATGCCATTTTGTCACACCATCAACGCCACTCACATCTCGATCAATATATAAAAACACCGTATAGATGCCACACCATATTTCATAAATACACCATAATTGGCTTGACATAGGCCTAAACAATCCTTAAAAAATGCTAGGTACCTCCGATAAATGGGTTCCATGGCCATGGCAACATCCCCTATAACTTCCATCCAGGAAGCGGAGGAGGCCTTGCGCCTTCAGCGCGAGGCCGAGGAGGCCGAGGCCAAGAAGGAGGCCGACGAGGCGCGGAAGGCGCTGGAGGAGGCGGAGATGGAACGCCGCAAGGCTGAGGAGGCGGGGCCCCGGGGCCCGCTCCGCCCACGGGGTCGTTGGGGTCGTAACGGGATCGTTGGATTCACTGGGAAAAACATGTTGAAATATTATGAATGGACCTATAATGATGGTAAATTAAATACTGATTGATACTGATGATTTACCCAAAATATTGGTAATTCATGGGTAAGAATGATGGTTACCTAGTGGTTCATCATAAAATAAATGTGATACAAGTGTATTGATCTATGTATGAATTATGTTCAAGTACTACTATATAATGGGTCATAATGATGGTTAATGGTGAATCATGCTTTTTGGAAACCATGAAGAAACATTTCTTCTTCATCCCATGGTAAACTAACAGTGGTTTAATTTAGCTCGATGATTTACAGTGCCTATTAAATTAAAGAATAATTAAGAAACACTTGTGATTTTCCATACTTATGTTAGTTTACTGGGGGGGTATCATTATTGATAATTAGTGGTTTTCCTAAAATGGGGTAGCTCCAAAACCATAGGTTTCAATACTAAGTCGGCTTCACTGATAATTAATGGGTCAGAATGATGCGTACTACTGGTTCATAATTGTTTTCAAGAAATCAATATGACACACACACACATATATATATAAACCCTGAATAAGAACGACTGTATCATTGGAAATCCTCCTGGGTGGGAGAAAGGACCTAGAAAAAAAGATAAATTTGATGGTTTGGGATCTGAAAAATGGGGATGTTTCGGGAACAATGTATATAAGTGGTTAACTTCATTGATTAACATACAGATAATTGCTTTTGACTTGACGACTGTAATCTTCGATAATACTTGACTTAAATGGGAGCCAACCCCGCATGACTGGACCCATGGAACTGGGATAATCTTTGAAATCTTTGGGGATGTTAGGAATTTGAGTAGTAACTTAAGAGGTTATCCTCAGGTAAACTAACACTTTGCCATGAAAAATCATCATCTTTACTAGGTCAATCAACTATAAATGGGCCATTTTCAATAGCCATGTTCGAAGGAAGTTTAGAAGTCAAACTTCCAACAATATGGACAGATGGAAAGCAGAGCAGGGCAGAGAGAAGAGAAAGATTAGAAGAGAGAAGAGTAGAAAGAGAAAGAGTCAGAAGAAAGAAGATGCAGATGCGCGAAAAGGTAGGAAAGTCGCGAAACACTGTGTTTTTCCAATAATTTGTGGCTCCGGAGGGTCGAAAAGTAGGCTCGCTAAAGCGGCGGGTGCGGAGCCAGCTGGCCAGATGAGAGATGAAAAATTGCACGCCGTTGTGGCGCGAAGCACATTTCCAAGTCAAAATGCACAAAGCACACCATGGTCGGACCACTTTTGGAAGTTGAGATGTCGAAAAAGTGCACGCCGTTGTGGCGCGAAGCACATTTCCAAGTCAAAATGTACAAAACACACCAGGTGTCGGACCACTTTTGGAAGTTGAGATGTCAAAAAAGTGCACGCCGTTGTGGCGCGAAGCACATTTCGAAGTCAAAATGTACAAAACACACCAGCTTTGGACCACTTTTGGAAGTTGAGATGTCGAAAAAGTGCACGCCGTTGTTGCGCGAAGCACATTTCCAAGTCAAAATGTACAAAACACCACATGTTCGCGCCACTTTTCGAAGTTCCGATGTGGAAAAAGTGCACGCCGTTGTGGCGCGAAGCACATGTCGAAGTGAACATGTACAAAGCACCACATGTTCGCGGCACTTTTGGAGGTTCAGATATCGTTTCGCGTGGCAGGCGCAAGGGATTGTGCACTTTGTCAAGAATAAGCAAAACGCGAGGGTTAGAGAGAGAGAGGGAGGGAGAGAGAGAGAGAGATGGATAGATGGATGGATAGATGGATGGATAGATAGATAGTTAGATAGATAGATAGGTAGATAGAGAGGTAGATACATAGATAGATAGATAGATAGATAGATAGATAGATGGATCGACAGATAGATAGATCGATAGATGGATAGAGAGATACATGGATAAGATATGGTAAGATAAGATAAGATAAGATAGATAGATAGATAATGATAGATAGATAAATATATATATATATATAGATAGATAGATAGACAGACAGATAGATAGACAGACAGGTAGATAGATAGATAGATAGAAAGATAGATAGACAGATAGATCAATAGGAAGGTAGGTAGATAATCAGAGAAAGATAGAGACAAGGAGAGAAAAAGAGAGAAAGAGAGAGAGAAAGAGAGAGAAAGAGAGAGAGAGAGATCAAGCACCTTCGGTCCATCAGTGGCTTCGCTCTGCCATCCCTGATTCACAACAACCAAGCTCTCCTATAGGTTTCCTATTTTTGAAACTTCCACCACCGCCTTGTGCGGTACTACTGGTCATTTACCAGAGGGTAATAGATAATGATACATAGAAACTGGTGATAACAAGATGTTTTGTTTGATGCATATAGAAACTCCTCATGAAATTGGTTGGGATGGGATACACAATCAAAAATCTTGGGAGAAATTCTCCTGGAGGGGAAACCACCCATCAAAAAATGGTGGTTTAACCTGCAGCTGTCGAAGGAGTTGATCCCCCCCGGAGCCCATCCTCCTGACGTCTTGGGCATGATGCCTCCTGGCTTAAAGCCAGAGAAGGCACACCTCTACAAGACTCCCAGCGGCAGGAGAGAGTACCTGGCTGAGGGATTGTGGGTAACGCGGAAAAACCTGTCAACCCTGCCTACAATTCCTAGTTTTTGGTGCCAGGCATTGTTACAAACCATGTCATTTTTGTTTTATCGGTTCCCAAAGTTGCCAATACAGAAATGAGAGGGAATATCTCCATATTTAGTTTTGAGACTTACGCGCATTTCCGAGTGCACATTTTCGGGTTTGGGTGTGGGCTTCAGTGACCACTATTGCCCCCCCTCGGCGTGTGAAACTCCGGCTGGGCATCCACCATAGCCCACCAATGTTTCAAAAGACCGTCCAGCATTTTTGTCAGGGTTGGGACCCGGAGCCAAGGACTTCATTTTGCAAAAGATGGGAGCAGGGGAATTGCAACTTTGGCTCCGCCTGTCACTTTGCGCACGGTGAACGGGAACTTCGTGGCCGCGCCCCTGTGGTGGCAGCCAGCGTGCTGAGCCCTGGTGGCGGAGCCAATGTGGCAGTCAACGTACCCACACCGCCACCGGCAGTACCACCACAAGCAGTACCACCACAAGCACAGGGCTACGGCTACTCCGACAACTCTGGAAGCGACTGGGGCTGTGAAGGCTGTGGCGGTTGTGGTTGTGGAGGATACGGCTGCGGAGGTTGTGGAACTTGCAGTGGTTGCGCAGGAGGCTGCCCAGCAGGCTGTTGTGGGTCTGGGTACAGCAAGGGTTGCAACTCATGCGGCTGTGGCAAAGGTGCTGGTTGCGGTCCATGTGGGTCTTGCGGTGGCGCGGGCTGCGGGCCTTGCAATGGCGCAGGCTGTGGACCTTGTGGGCCCTGTGGCTGCGGCAAGGGTGGGCCTTGTGGTTGTGGCCACAGTGCTTGTGGTTCCAGCTGTGCCCCTCATAGTGGTCCCTGTCACGCTGGCCCGTGCGGCCCTTGTGGCCCTGGCGGTCCTCATGGCTCCTGTTCTGGGGCCGGAGCTTGTGGCTGTGGTGGCTGTGGTCCTAGCTGCGGTCCTGGCTGTGGTCCTGGCTGTGGTTTTGGCTGCGGTGCTTGCGGCTTTCAGGGTGAGCACATGGAAGCTGCAGGTTACTTACTTTCTTGCAGAGTGCAAAGCTTTGGGCCATTTTTGCGCCCAAGAAAATTGAATTTATGGTGGGATATGGTACCTTGTAGGCATGGTCGGGCTGTACGAGTATTTCTGATCATGATGAAGCGCAGCCAGTCAGGCAACTTTTTTTTCCCCAAAGAAAAGGTTCCTGTCATGTTCGATGATGTTCGCCCAAGCCCAACTGATCCGCTGCAGGTGATGAAGATTGGGACTGGGGCGGATTTCAGGGCCAGTGGGGCGATGATTGGAACGGCTCCTGGGGTTAGCTTTTGCCGCAGTTGCGATGTGCTCCTGCCTAGCCATGCTGAGCTGCTGCAACATCCATCGCATTACTCGACCAAAATCACCAGCGCTTCAACTGCTTCGGGGATGAGAGGGTGCCAAATTCTGCCAAAGGTATAGGCTCAAAGGAAGTTTATAGTTCATTACAATCAAAGATAGGTCCCGGGGAGAGAGAATTCAAATTTCACAGCGGATTTGGCAGATCAGTGGGTTTGAGATTTTCCATTTGGCATTGAATTGGGGATGTGGCCATTTGAGATTCTTGGCTTACTTTCGGAGCCTGCCTCGGCAGGTTCGAATGAACAACTCCTCTCCTTGGACTATGCCTTGCACCCAGCTGATTCTCATGTTCTGCGTGGACTGGTATGCTTTGGGTGGACACTTTCATGGCCCTTTTCAAGATTGTTCAATGTTGAGTTTGCAGATGTGCTAGTTGTTTCGTCATAAACAGGTATGGGACTTCCATTGCCCTTGACAATTGCAAGACATGTTGGTGCGGTTGCTCTCTCCCGTATTATCATATTATACATATAGTATATGTTCATGTCCGCAATATTTTTCCCCAAGAGCTAGCTGGTCGTTTCAAAGAATTTAACTTTCCATCTAAACAGATCAAAAGAAAAAACTGTCAATGTTCGCCAGCGATCTCCCAATTTTCATATTGACATGAGTGGCTGAAGCATCAGCTTTTGCGAGTGAATCCCTTTCTCGGTCAGTCATGATATCCTCCGGTGGCGGAAAGTGCGCTCTGGATTCCTGACATTGTCAGACATTTGCGGGTTTGTCTGAAAATAGGAAACCCCTAAATCCATTATGATCCATTATGCCATTGGTTAATCATCATTATCCCTATTAAAATGGCCAGCGCTGGGGGTGTATACCACATTTTCAGATATACCCAGATATATCCAGATATCATATCATGTTGGCTATGTAGAGCATAGTATCTCAGTATATCCCAGTTGTATATCCACATTATGTATCCCATTATTTTTGGTTAATTAGCAGTATCATTCATGATCCCTTTTTAAGAAACATATTTTAGTTAATCATCATTAGCCCCCCCAAAAAACCTATAAACATCCATCAGTTAAACCTATAAACATCCATCAGTTAAACATCACCATCCCATGTTTTCATATATTTTCCCATGTTTTCATACGCCATGGCGCCATGCTACTCCGAGGCGTCGGCGATTTCAGCAGATCTCTTTGATGCACGAGAGTCTTAAGAGGCCACATGGTGGGCGAAAAAAATGGGGGATTCCTTAAGTCATGGTATCCCAAAATGGATGGTTTAAGTGTGTATAATTGTGTATATCTAAAAAGTATATTTTGAAGTCCCATTCCGAGTGTCGAACATCATGAAATCTTGTATCAGGGTCGTGACAAACAAAAAATATATCATGTGAAGCTACTGGACTTACGTGGATGTATGGTATATGAGTATAAAACCTGGTGACATGATTTGATAATTTGGGGATCTTTTGGGGTACCTTCATTACTTTGGAAACTTCTAAAGTTGGCGATATATGGCAGGTAAATGGATGATTAGGCTACCTAGATGTAGTATGATATCCATCTCAATGTCAGAAATCGATGCTTGGTCATGGGGGATCCCCAAGTCACCATGGTGGTTTCAATACTGCTTGGTCATCCATGACGATTGGATGCTTTGGGGTCACCCCACAGGCAAACCGACCATATCAACCGCATAGCCTACTCATGACATAACGCCAATCATGTTCTGGGGATTTCTATGGTATGCCTCAGAAGTATGTAATATATATATAATATATTTGATATATATATAATATTTGATATATATATATATAGATAGATAGATGGATAGATAGATAGATAGATAGATAATATGTGCGAAACAGATTACTTAATTTGGTATTTCTATGGTGGCCCTTTGGGCATCAAAGGGGCTTCACCCCCAAACGCCATGTCGGTAAGCTCCCAGGCGTTTGCCCTGCTTACCAGAGCTGCCGGCCAAGTCGGTGCCATGACATCAGGGAACCCGATAGTAACAGGGATCTAGCCATGACTAAACCCGCGGAACTGGGAGAATCTTAGACATCTTTGGGAATGTTAGGAATTTGAATAGTGACTTAAGAGGTTACCTTCTGGCAAACTAACAGTTTGCCATGAAAAATCATCATCTTGAATAGGTCAATCAACTATAAACGGGCCATTTTCAATAGCTATGTGAATTTACCAGAGGGTACCATAGGGCTTATTCATGGATGAAGGACCTATGAGAATGGCGATTTTTTTTCCAATATCTATGTTAATTTGCCCCGGGGTGAACCCCCCAAGGAGTTGGGATACTTGCGGGATTTTAGACAGAAAATATGGGCATCATGGATGGTTTATGGCATGAGGAAAGCCACCCATATTGGGCATGGTTTATGGATGTTTATGGCATGAGGTCTACAAACTAGAAATATTGTGGATCAATGGGCTAAGACCACGCACGGTTTTTGGGCCGGAACCGATTTATTGGAGGTACGTACCAAATTAATCCAAATTATAAGTCTATGATTCAGGGTGTTTAAGTGGATATACCCCCAAGTTCTATGGCTTTATATGCCATTGCTCCAGTTTAGATACCTGAAACGGCCATTGAAAGGGGTAGAATAGACTGTCGCAGTCCACTTGGAAGTGGCATGGCCCAGTCTGGGGACTTACTAAGCATTCTCAGCTGGGTCACTGGGATGATCGTCCAACCAAACCATCGCTTTCATGTAAGACCTCCGAGGCAAGATTGTAGGCAGCATCCTAAATGTTGCCATGTAATCACAGCATGAGGTATTTGTGGATCTTCCATGCTTAACAAGACAGCACTTATGACTGAAAATTCATGACTGGAAGCCACGGAAAAATGGGGCCCCGCTGGGTTAGGCCCACATGACTGGCACATTTGCGAAACTCAGGTGGTGCGGCAATTTAGCCACAGCCTTGATTTGGGATGGGCTTTGGTATTTCCCAAAAATTGGGTATTCCCCCCCATTTCACCGAAAGTTTACCATCATATTCCGTGTCAAATTCTCTACAATATTAGGGGGGTATGATAAAACCCAAAAACACCAGAAGTCTCGTTTGCACCATTTTTTGTGGCCAACATGTGGATACACTTGAGCTTGATCGGCCATACGAAGATGTGCATAGATGCATTTGGCATAGAATGTAGCCTGGGCAAGGCCCAAGTCTTGGTCATGTTGCCCATGAGGATTTCTGGATGCCGTTTGTTTGTTTACTGGAGGGTGTCTGTGGGCATCAACGGAACTGGCATGCGGCTGTAGCCTTCTTGGGATCAGGCTTGATCTACGGGGCTTACCCCAGACCTCGCACTCTTTGTTCAGTTGCCATGGCGTTTCGCCTCACCTACCGCAGACAATGCCGTCACCTTCCCAGAGTTGGATGATGTCAAATGATGTTAGATGATGTTAGATGACTCGATGCAAGCCATGTTGGTGGAAAGCATGGCCGGTCTGGATCAAGTGCACGAGAATTGGGTTTGGGGGCTGGAAGGCATGTCCGTCATGTCTCCATCATGAAACACGCCTTCAAATGATTTTCCGCAAATGGAATTGGACAAAATCCATTCAATCAAGTAATCAACTCCGAATGTTGGGTTTCCAGCCGCCAAGATCGGAAGCACTGTGTCAGCTCCAGCTGAATCCGCTTCGACGAAGCCCAAAAGGACATTACTTCCCGGTGCTCCAATTTCCCCCATTTTTTTATTCACCCAGAAAGTGATGTGTATGGAAGACATGTATATATAACAATAATATACAATAATCAATATATATATATGATATAGTTATATGGAAATATCAGGAATCCACATCATCTTTAATCTTTGGTGCTGGAGCTTGTCGCAGTCAGCCTTTGTTGCCACCCAGGCTACAACACCAAGTCCAACAAGCAGCGCGTGGTGAAAACGCCGGGCGGCCGGGCCGTGTTTCAGACGTTGACCAAGAAGGCCAAGGGCCCTCACTGCCACTCAGCTGATCTCAGACGCCGGGATGAAGCAGTCATATGGCTGACAACCAAAGAAAAGCAGACATGTAAAGTATGTAATGATTTGAAAGGGATGATATTCCCGTGATCTCTTTATTTTTGCCCCCATTTGGAGGGTAGAAACCGCCCTCCCAACTAGCCAAGGTGGTGATTGCAAAAAGGCTTTGATTGGGCTTCCTCGCTTGCGGCCTGTGGAGTACGCACGACTGAAGAATCGCGAGAAGCGCGTCAACCGCGCCTATGGCGGCTCTCGCTGCGCCAGCTGCGTACGTCAGCGCCAGCTGGCAGTGTTGAGTACATTTAGGTGGAGGTGAAACGGTGATTCTTCAGGTGGAATCCACAAGAAGACTTCACTATCCCCAAGTAGAAAACCTTCTGGGGGCGTAGGGTCTTGAAAATACGGGGGGCAGATCGGAAACGGTGGTATGGCAACCAGTGTTGCATTTGAGACCGGCATTTCTTGACGTTCCCCTGTCACACTGCACTGGGTTGCAGGGCAGTGTCATCAACATTTACAGCTACCCGTAATCAAACATGGCCAACTGGGAAATACCTTGCAAATTGTCATTCCAACGGAACAATCATCTATACATGGGTTATTCTCCAGCACTTTCCATGTTTGAAGACAGAGGGTACCTTCCGCAGTGAGGTATTGTGCGAGCATTCTTGATCGAGGAGCAGAAGTGCGTCAAGCAGGTTCTTGCTGAGAAGCTATCCCAGGCGAAGGAGAAGGAAGGTGGCAAGAAGCCGAATCTCAGCAGGGACAAATGGCATATTACTACAATCTAATGATATCTAATGCATGTCCACCGATAATATGGCTTTTGCCGAAAGGTTATTATGATTATATGAATTATGATTGACCAGCAACCTTTAAGTTGTTTCCGTGTGTTACTAGCTTATCTAACTATGGAGTGTGTGGGTCTATATATCGATTCCACTTGAAAAATGTCGTCCAAGTTCAATATCTTTTGGGTCATTGAGTCGAACAAGTGGTTTGGACTGGGGGTGGGCTCCTCTCGCAAAAAAGTG